ATTGTTTGTCTCCCCCACCTAGTGTCAACTCTATGAGGCTAGCCAGGCATATAGAAGACATTTGTTGAGTTAGTAGCCAGTGGATGAAGAGGGAACACACCGAGGCAGCATGGAGGGCCAGGAGAACCCCGATATTCAAGGGGTGAGCAGAGGGGCTGTCAAAGGGTCATGGAGACTTGAGAATGAGGGACAAGAGAGAAGTGTCAGTAACCAAGAGGGGAATGACATTGGTTGGGGATGCTACTGGCTCCAGGTAATGGCAAACCTGTCCCGTGGTGATGAAGACAAGAGATGATTCTTCTCGTAGTCAAAATGTTTGGTGGCAATGCTCTGGGCCAGTGTTGCTCAGGCGCTCTTGGCCTTCCCTCAGCCTCAAGCATCACAGCCTCACACAACTGAGTTCAAAGACAGGAAACAGGGAGCAGGGTGGGGCAGACATCCTCCTCACATGTTTCTCTCTTCTTGGTGGGGCGTGAGATGGTGAGAACGCTGCCCCCAGAAGACTCCAACAGGTGTTCCTCCATATTCCACTGGTTAGAAAGGACACATGCCTGCCCTTGGACCAGGGACTGGGCCCACCTTGCTGAAATACAAGAATCACTTTCCTGTCCTTGAACAAAGTTGGGCTTGTGCCAGCTGAGGAGAAGGGGAATGGCTTTTGAGTAAGCAATGCACCATCCTTGCTCTAGGCACATTTCACAGGGAAGAGTTTTTTCTGTTGGTCACATAGGATGGGTATGGAGCTGGGTATGGCTGCTGGAGTTGCTGCCCGTAGACTGTGTGTGGCCCTTGAGAGAGTAGTTCCCATAGAGTGGTTGGGCCGGGCTGTCCACTACAAGCTTACGAATTAGTGGGAGAGATTTAGGAGAGGAAGGTAGACGACCAGGAAATTTGATGTTGAAGGTAAGAGGAGAGATGGGACAATCTCTGGCCACTGGAGGCAGACGCAAAGAGGTCTTTCCAGTTTGGGGCAGACTTGAAGATGTTTACTGGATGAGCCAAAGAAGCCAGCAGGAGAGAGGGGGAAGCAGGATGGGGTAGTTGAGTCCCTTGCCTTGAAAGAGGCATGGGGATGGGTTCAAGTGCACAAGAGGGGTGGCTGTTACTGGACGGAGTGGGGAGGCTTTTCTGGAGACTCAGATGCCTTCTGAGATGGGAGAAGATTCGTAGGATGGTGAAGGTGCCCAGGGATGAAGTTTCCCCTCACTTTCCTTTGTGTGACAATGGGCTCATGCAAAGAGTGAATGGGTGACCTTGACCTTTCCAAAGGTTAGAACATTTGTTTTAACATTCTGATATAATAGACTAACAACAACAACAACAACAACAACAACAAAACCACCCCAGATCCATCTGTGTGGTTGTACTCCGGAAGTCCAAGGACAAAGACTGATCCTTGGGTTTTCTCGTTCAGCGGAACAGAGCCGCCCAGCACATGGTCAGGGGTGTGGTTGTTATATCATACTGTCTAGAGGTTGCAGGACACTTAACAGACAGCAAGAGCTTCCAGATCCTGCAGCCGATGGGCAACAGGGTGGAGGGGCGCACGCCCTGAATTGGTCAGAGAGGACTTGGGTCCTAGGTCCAGATGCACCACTTACATGCTGGGGTTCGCTGTTATCCTCCAGGCCTGCAACCTCATCTGCAGGGAGCTGGGCTGTTGACAGCTCCTATCCTCTCTCCTCTGCCCACAGCTTTAAAATGTGCATGCTCCTTACTGGGAGCTAGGGGAGTGCCTTCCTGCCCCCTCCACATCCCTGTCTGGGGAGTTTTGACTCTGCTCAGTACCCCTTGGAACAGGACAGTGTTTTCTTTCACCATTAACCCTGGTCCCTCACTTCTGGCATCTTCTCCCCTTTGTTTTGGGGAATGATGGCATAAGGCCCAGCTAGTGGGATTGGGAGCCAAACCTTTCTCCTCTATTTATTCAGATCGTAGCTATGGATGCAGCAAAAAGCAAACAGAAGTTTGACTAGATATATGGGCTCAATATTCCACAACATTCAAAGCTGGTGCCTACTTACGTAGGAGGCATAAAACACAACATTATGTTAAAATGAATAATAACCCCAACAGAAAAAAAGAGGTTATTTTTTAAGAAAAAATCCTTAGGAGGCATGTTCAGATGCTAAATTGGTCAGATTGTCTTCTTCTCAAGGCCTCGTTAATGTCCATCCACACCCTGTGCTGTCTCTCGGGGTGAGAGTTCTAAACAGGACATATCTTCTCTTAGGTCACCCTGTTTAGCTGGCATGTGGGGTTGGACGTTGACCTCAGGAGGGTTCTGTGCATGTCTCATGGCTTCGCTGGGGGATGCCGATGTTGGTAAGGAGTTGGGGGGCGAGATCCCAGAGTCCCATCAAAGCTACTGCAGTCAGATCAGTCCTGCCCATCTCTGCATCGCTTGGACTCCACTTCCTCATGACCAAAATGTGACTAACGATAGTTTTGCCCTCATGGGATGGCTATGGGGATTCGATGAGTTTACACTTAGGAAGTGTCTAGGAAGGTCCCCGGATGGAATCAGTTACTCAACCCACCATCACAGAGGGCCAGCAACAACTTGTCAGTTACACCTTGTGGGAAGGAAGCCCCAGATGCATTTCTGCCCTCAAGGAGTCAGCATCTAGCTGAAGAAAGAACATGGACCTTGTAGAAATCGATAGAGAACCAGAGCAGCCTCCAAGACCAGCCCTTCCCAGTGGCACGGATGACTTCCTGGAGGGCCAGCAGCGGCTGGGTGGGGCGCGCTGTCAGCCGGCCCTGCTTCATCTCCTGGCAGCCAAAGCAGGGAGAAAGGAGAATCTGGTATTCATTGTGTGGTTGTTTCTAATTTCCTTCTGCTTTCGAGATCCTCTTCGGAGGGAGAACAATGCCCTGAACAAGGCTCAGGCTTCCTTGTCCAGGCACCCGCCCAGCTGTGGGGGTGGGGGTGCCGGAGAGAATACAATGGCCGGCACTCCCAAGGGCAGATGGCGTTTGACTCCTGTCCTCTGAGAGCGCTGGGGATTGGTGGATGGTTCGAATCCCAACCTATTGTTTGCTGTTATATCCCTGGGGCTTTGAGCAACTCCCCCCATCTCATTAATGACCGCTATTTATAAACTGTCCCTATTTGCTGAGGAAGGACAGTCTTTCCTGTACTACCAGCTACAGGTACTGATACAGGAAAGTTCATCTGAGGCTGGACCTCCCATGGCACCTAGATTCTAGAGCCACTAGGCTGCGCCATGTTCTCCTGCCACCATACCCCTGGCAGGAGGGAGTGCTGCTGGGTCCTTGACAGCATGGCCCTGGCCAGGGCCAGCGCCCGGACCAGTACGGGAGGGATCCTCAGCAGAGGGCCTTGGAATGGACATTTCCCCAGCCCATGTTTTGTAAGTCTGGTGGGAGCAGAAGGCCCAGGACTGGGATCAAGGAAAGGGCACGATTTCCGCATCCCTTTCTGTCTTCATACTTGTCCTCTTGTTTGTGGATCTCTGTACACTCATCAGCCTTGCTGGGTTTCTCTTTTACCACCAGAAATCAGAATGAGTGACCCTCAAGGGGAAGCAGGGCAGGAGAAGATCAAAGGGCTGGCTAGGGTCTTGCAAATCCACAGGGCTGTAATGAGGGAGAGACCATGGGAGCGGCAGGTGGGAACCCGATGTGCAAGGACTAGGGCTGGGCAACTGCCTCTAAGCGGGGGTCCCACACTTAAGTCCATCTGGGGCCACCGTCATCCCCTCTGCACACCCATACCCACTCTGTACACTGTTTGTTTAATGGTCCTCTTGAAATAGATTTATTTTTAAAAGCCCACATTTAATTACAAAGAAATCTTTGTCACTACCATAAACAAAATCTGGCATTTTTCTAATAATTGTCAGCACAAGTTCATTACTGTTAAAATGAAAATATTCATCATGGACCCGCTAAGATCTTGAGCCTTGTGTGAGTTCTTGGTGTGGACTTTCACACAGAAGGGAGTCTCCGCGGGCGTCTGATGGTGACATTGGGGGTGAGCTTGGTGTTGGCGAGAAGTCATGAGTAGGGTGGTTCGTGCCCATCATCGAAGACGTTTCAGGAAGGCACCTTGCTGCTTGACCTGAGGCTACTGGCTCCATGTCAGCATCTTCAATGTGGGAGAATGACAGTGTCTCCTTCAGAGGCTGGGTGAGGACGGACCCAATTCATGTTTGTATAAGGTGTTCAGAACAGGGTCTAGGGTCTAGTAAGTGCTCAGTAGGGGTTAACAGCCACCATAACTTGGGAGGCTCCAGCCTTAACTTGGGGGCTGCCCTGGGGATCCCATCACCTGCCTGTTTGGTGACAGGGCAGAACAGACCTGATCTCCAGGCTCCCTCCTGCTCTCCACCCACCTCTGTTCCTCTCCAACTCCTCCGCTCAGACAGGTGCACCCAGGTGGTATGTCTGTCATTTCCCTCACGATGATAGAATTAAAACTAAGATGTGGTCATGGCGTTAGTCATCTTAAAACACTCCCGTTGGCATGGGTGGTCATCCGTGCCCACTGGAGGCTCTGGAACAGACTCTCAGGGATCAACGGTCCCATGCACACGCTGAGGGCTTGTCCAATCCGAGTCTGCTGCTCGATCTGAGCAGCCCTGGTTGTTTCTGGAACAGGACCTGTGGCTTGGAGGGAGAAAGTTGCTGTGGGAAGCAGTCCCAGGTTCCCTGGTGGGACTGGAAATTCTGCCTCAAGCCCTGGAATTTTGACTTCCTGTTTGGCCTGGCTTTGTTCCCCCACATATTTGGCTGTGGTGTATCCTCTCCCTCCCCCTCTCGGGATCCGTTTCCTCATCTGTAAAATGAGGGGGTTGCACTAGATTGTATCTAAGGCTCTCTTCAGCTTGAAAAAGCTATGATTTGCCTCCCACCCCCTTACTGTTCCCTCAGGCCTCTTGATTGACAGAGGAAAGTGGGAAGGAAATGGGCGGAACCAGAAGAGCTGTGCGTCCTACAGCGTAGAGGATGGGCCCCATAGCACACGAGTTCCCAGCCCCAAATGTCTATGACACTGAGGCTGGGAAACCTTGCATTAAAGGAGAGGAGACGAAGGGAGGAAAAAGCAAAGACATTGTAAGTGCCCTAGAAATGACAAGTGGGTAGGTGAATGATGATAAAAGGGCAAATCCAGGGGGGAAAAAACGTGCGTGGGGAAAAGCTTTATAAAGGGGAGCAGCGAGAGTGCTAGGATGGGAAGAATGTGTCTGCCAAGTGATCACAGTTAGGGTTTCGGAGTAAGCCGCTGGTTTGAGAGTGTAAACAGTACTGAGGGGGACTGATATCCTCCCTTCTCCTTTCTGGCTCATTTTGGAAGACGTGTTCCCCAGCCCCCCCCAAATTAGGGTCTCTGGAATTACAGAAATGCAGCCAGTCAGCAGTGGTCCCCTTTGATGCTCTATGTTGGCCTTAGGATAACAGACTGGTTGGTCCCAAGACAGGCAGTCATTGTCCTGTGAGCAACACCATGCAAACAAGTCATGGTGAGGTTTTCTTTCTTTCTTTTTTAAAAATTAAATTTATTTATTTATTTATTTATTTGACAGATAGAGATCACAAGTAGGCGGAGAGGCAGGCAGAGAGAAAGGAGGAAGCAGGCTCCCCGCTGAGCAGAGAGACTATGCGGGCCTGGGATCATGACCTGAGCCGAAGGCAGAGGCTTTAACCCACTGAGCCACCCAAGTGCCCCATGGTGAGGTTTTCTGTGCAAACTTCGCTCCTTAATGAAAAAGCAGCTAATCTCCAACTCCAGAGGAAGATACAGGGAAAATGAGATTAAAGGAAATTAACGTAGAGTGGATGTCTTCGTGACCTTGGGGGTGGACAAAATTTTCTAAAACAATGCCAAAAGCACTGACTATAGAAGAGAAACTGGTAAATTGAGCTTTATCAGAAGTATAACATCTCCTCATCAAAAAGCACCATTCAAAACATGAAACGGCAAGCCTTAGTCTCAGAAGAAATCTGCAATACATACCTTCGAACAAGTGTTCACTTTCAGGATCTATGAAGAACCATCATAAATCAATAAGAAGGGGACCTGGGTGGCTCAGTGGGTTAAGCATCTGCCTTTGGCTCAGGTCGTGATCTCAGGGTCCTGGGATCGAGCCCCGCATTGGGCTCCCTGTTCAGCAGTGAACCTGCTTGTCCCTCTCCCTCTGCTTCTTCCCTTCCCCCTGCTTGTGTTTTCTCTGTCTCTCACTCTCTCTCAAATAAATAAATAAGTAAATAAATAAAATCTTTAAAAAGTCCTTAAAATAAATCAGTAAGAAAAAGATGATGACACGATAAAAATTGGGCAAAAGACGTAATACTCACAAGAGATCATATCCAGATGGCCAAATGAACTATGAGAAGGTGCTCAACAACTTCACTCATGAGGAAGATGCACGTTAAAATTAACCATGAGGACAGAGCACTACACATCCACCAGAGCAGCTAGAATGAAAAAGTGACAAGACCAGGGGTCACTGGCGATACAGAGCCACTGGAACTAGCATACATTGCTGTGTGGACCGTAGACATGTACGATCCCATAGGAAACGTGTTTGGTAGTTTCTGTCCAAGTTAAAGATACGCCTACTCCTTCACTCAGTCATTCCTCTCCGGGTATATGTATCTAAGAGATACGACCGCACAGAGATATGTACAAGAATGTTCCAAAGCATTGTCTCCAAACTTGGAAGTTCCCATCAACAGCAGGTTGGAGCAGTAAACAAACGGTGGCATATTCCTATGGTAGAGTATGACACGGCAGTGAAAGATTACACGTTATAGGATTTCATTACTACGAAGGTCAAGAAGAGGCAAAGCTGACATAGGAGAGGTCAAATTTTAGTTCTGTCTGGTGGAGCAATGGACTGAGAGGGCACATGAGAGAACCTTTTGGGGTGCTAGAAATATTGTGTGTCTGGACTGGGGTGGTGTTTATGTAAGTGCATATATGTGTAAATGATGATCAGGCTGTCCATTTATGCATTTCATTCTATCTCAAAGATTTATTTATGTATTTGAGAGAGAGGGTGAGGGGGGTTGGGGGGTGTTGGGAGGGTGGGAAGGCACAGAGGGAGAGGGAGAGAAATCCTCAAGCAGACTCCCTGCTGAGGGCCCCTGAAGCCTGGGGCTTGATCGCAAGGTCCTGAGACCATGACCTGAGCTGAAATCAAGAGCTCAGCAGACTGAGCCACACAGGCACCCCAATTATTTTATTTTATTTTAATTAATTTAATTTAATTTTATTATTTTATGTTATTTTAATTGCACTTAGTTAATGTATAGTGTTATATTAGTTTCAGGTGTACAATAGTGTAATGCAACCCTTCTGTACATCCCTCTGTGCTCATCATGACAGGTGCACTCCTTGTGTGCTTGACTGTGTATGTGGTAGACTTTGATTGAAGAACATGAAAAGAAATGCAGATTCCTATGTCCAAGGGAAGTAGTAACAATAGTAATTTACTGAACACTCAATGTATGCTAGGTGTTTTATATAGATTATTTCATTGACTCCATCCAAACCACCCTGTCAGCTAGGTATTATTCTCATTTTACAGAAGATGAAACTGGAACTTCAGAAGGTAAATAGCTTGCCGAGCCTCACTGCTGCAAAATGGGGGAACCGGAACCTGGGCACCGCAATCTGTGTTCTTGCTACTTGGCTTGGGATCTTAGGGTGATGTAGGTGCGGCATCAAAGCTTCCTCTCCAAGCATCAAAGCCTTAGATACCATTAAAAAAAAATTATTTATTTATATTTGAGAGAGAGAGAACGAGCGACAGCAAGAGAGAGGGTATGGGGGGAGGGGCAGAGGGAGAGGGGGAGAGAGAATCTCAAGCAGACGCCATGCTGAACGTGGAGCCTGATGCAGGGCTCGATCTCACGACCCCAGGATCACGACCTGAGCTGAAACCAAGAGTCAGATGCTCAACTGTCTGAGTCACCCAGGCACCCTGATACCATTTTTAAAAAAATTTGGTATATTTTTTAAAAAGATTATTTATTTATTTATTTGACAGACAGAGATCATAAGTAGACAGAGAGACAGGCAGAGACAGAGGAGGAAGCAGGTTCCCCGCTGAGCAGAGATCCTGATTCGGGGCTCGATCCCAGGACTCCGGGATCATGACCTGAGCCTAAGGCAGAGGCTTTAACCCACTGAGCCACACAGGCGCCCACCCTGATAGCATTTTAAAGAAAATGTCATCATGTCTCCTGACATTCCAGGATTAAATCCCTCTACTGTCTTAAAAAGAAGAAGAAAAAACCCCCGGCATCGAATGGGGAAACTTTCCATGAATTTGTTCTAATTGGGAGAAGAACCTGTGGTTTCCTACCCGCCCTGCTCATCCTAACTGTTCTGCGTTGTAAATTTTCTGAGGAGGAAGCACTGGCCACAGCAGTCAATACTGGAAGCCAAGCTTGAGCTCCAGTTCATTCCTCTTAAACCGGGAGGCTCTCAGGAAGTTATTTAGCTTCTCAAAGCCTTTGTTTCCTTGTCTATAAAGAGGGGACTTGGTACTTACCTTATAGATTGACCGCAAGGGTTGAATGAGATCATACCTAAGAAGCCCTCAGCCCAGCAGCAGGGTCATAGCAAGTGCTCGGTAAAAGGTAGTATAGAGATGTCGGAGCTGGGGCGCCTGGGTGGCTCAGTCATTAAGTGTCTGCCTTTGGCTCAGGTCATAATCCCAGGGTCCTGGGATCGAGTCCCGCATTGTGCTCCCTGCTTGGCAGGAAGCCTCCTTCTCCCTTTCCCATCCCCCTGCTTATGTTCCCTCTCTCTCTGTCTCTCTCTCTGTCTGTCAAATACATAAATAAAATCTTAAAAAAAATGTTGGAGCTGATATTGAGTTGGTTCCACTCAGGGCTCTTAAAGCTTAGCACCTTTCTCCTTCAAATGATTCAGCACACATATAAAAAAAAGTTATGGGAATGATTTCTCTAGAGTGGAGACACTTTGGGTGGGGCAGACTCTCAGTGCTTTACTTAGAGGTGCGGGAGGGAGGTCACTTTCAGCGAGACTGGTCAGACAGAGGTATTAGCTGGGTAGGACTTTCAGAAATGGGTAAGATCTTGTCACAGAGACGGGACCAGGAAGGTGAGGGAGGGAGGTGGTACCTAGAGGGCAGGGGGTGCGTCTGGGAGTGGTAAGCCGACCAGTTTGGAGGGCGCCTAAGATTTATGTAGGAACTACTGGAAGATAAGCTTAGAAGGGAAGGCTGGCTCTGGATGAGGTCCCACTAAGGACGCTGGACTCCATCTGCAGGAAGAGGAGTCACTGACCATGGTTGAGCAGGGAGGGGGTAAGATGAATCCAGGGTGGGCAGACCCACATGGGAGGTCAAAGAGACTGGGCCAGGAAGCTAGTGAGGAGAGAAGAAATGCAGGGTCAGGTGGGAAGGAGTTCGGTGTGATCTGGGGAGCATGGGGGAGGACTCCTGAAGTCTTGGAGTCAATTTCTTGAGTTTACAAAGCAGAGAGAAAGTCTGTGTGGAGATGGTAATGAAAGGGATTTCGTCAAGGCTAAAACTGGAGGGGGCACCCTGCATCCCTTCCTGGGTCCTCCCCTTCAGTCTGTTATTTGCATGTCCTCAAGAGCACAGTCTCCTCTTCCGGTTTTGGGCTTGCGGGGCACCCTAAGAACAGACACAGGCTCTCTACAAACATCCTTTCCATCCTCACAGCCTAGGAACCGCACAGAGGGAGGTGTTTCAAGACCAAAACAGATCCAACAGCAGATCAGTGTCCAGATGTATCCTCCCCAAGACAAGACTTTGTTTAGATGCTGTACCAAGGGGTTCTCAGGGATCTTCTCTCAGCCCGCGCAAAGCTAACGAGTGGTCTCCCCATTTTATGGAGAGATGCAAACGGTGTTTTGAATAAAAATCCCTTTGTTATTGTTGTTTTACAGGGCTGTAGCAGCGGCCAGGAAGAAAACCGCCCCCTCTGAAAGTTGTTTTTGTGACTGTTCTTTGGAGCATTGTTCTAAAAATGGGAAATTACATACTGCCGGGCCAAAGGAAACAAACACCTGCAGTTAAAGGCATACCTTCCTCGAGGTGGCTTTTAGAGCCCAGCCCGTTCTGGGTGTAGGGCTGCTGCAGGAGTTCCACTTGGTGCGTCTCTTCTTTTCTACGGGGATCGGGTGTGGGCTTATATTTGTAACCAGGGTGGGCTTGGGCAACTACCGGGTTCTGGTGATTGTCTTTTACTCATTCATCCAATAAACATCTATTGAGCATCTCCGCTGGGTCCGTGTTGGTGGTTTTCACTACTCCCTTCCCTGGCACCAAAAATCAGGAGAGTGGGCCACCTGGGTGGCTCAGTGGGTTAAGCCTTTGATTCTTGATTTTGACTCTGGTCATGAAGTCAGGGTGCTGAGGTCGAACCCTGTGTTGGGCTCCGAGCTGGTCGAGGAGCCTGCTCAAGATTCTCTCTCCCACTCTCCTTCTACCCCTCCCCCATTCTCTCTCTCTCCCTCTCTAAAACAAGCAAGCAAACAAACAAATAAAAATGTTTAAAAAAAGGGTGTACCTGGGTGGCTCAGTGGGTTAAGCCTCTGCCTTTGGGTTGGGTTGTGATCTCGGGGTCCTGGGATGGAGCCCCGCATTGGGCTCTCTGCTCGGTGGGGATCCTGCTTCCCCCTTTCTCTCTGCCTGTTGCTCTGCCTACTTGTGATCTCTCTCTCTCTTTGTCAAATAAATAAATAAAACCTTTAAAAAATGTTTAAAAAAATCACAGGGAAAGTTGGCTTCCAGTCACTTCTTGTCAATTTTCAGAGCCAATGCATGAGTTCTGCCTCCCTATAATGGGGAGCCAGACAGAGCCCCAGCACCTTCTCTTCCTCCTCTCTCTTTCCTCTTTATTCATCTACAAAAATAAAAATGTTATTTTTTAACACGTCACTCAATATGTTTCTTTAAGTGTATGATTTTTCACGGTTTCCTGTTATGGGGCTACATACAGAAGCTCTTGTTCTGTGCTGTGAGACATCAAAAGGTAATTTTTTGGTTATCTGGTTAATAGTTAACACTTATCAACCTTGCTATCATTGCAAAATAATCAGGTCTTGAAACTCATCAAGGGTAAAAAGAATACATTTCAGGTAGATTTGTGGTTTAGGGAGAATCCAGCTGTATAAGCTGATCTCATCTTTGTTGGAAGCAAGAAAGACAGGAGCAAGGGGGAAACAGCGCATTTCCAACTTTTTGGAATGCGTTGACTTTGGTTAGAACTTTCTGCCCAGGAACACGTGCCTTCCTCCAAGGGGTTGGCCAGAGAGTGAGGGCAGATCTTTCTTGGGAGTCAGGGTTATCTCTCTGGGGACCACTTGGTGACTGATGTGGTCCCGCCTGGAAGAAGAGAGATGGGGATAAAAAGGGTCTGTAACATGTTTAATTTACTGTCTTGGTTTCCACTTTGGTCTTAACTCTTCCACCAGAGGCTCAAAAGTAGGACGCTGTACTGGATTCGTATTTGAGTGCTTCCCCACCACCCCCCAACCCCCAACCTCGGCCCCTTTTGCTTACTCATATTTTCTTTTTTAAGATTTTATTTATTTATTACACACACACACACACACACACACACACACACACACGCGCAGAGATCATAAGTAGCCAGAGAGGTAGGCAGAGAGAGAGGGGGAAGCGGCTCCCCGCTGAGCAGAGAGCCTGATGCAGGACCCCAAGACCATGACCTGAGCTGAAGGCAGAGGCTTAACCCACTGAGCCACCCAGGTGCCCTGCTTACCCAGATTTTCTAATTTTTCTTCAATGACTGGCAAGATAACACAAATTTAGAACACGCCCTCATGGGGCTCATGTTCGAGAGAGGAAAGCAGATAAAAGGGAGCATGCTCCAGGGAGATAAGTTTACCACAGAGCCTAGATGAGGCCGATGGTGGTAGGGAGAGCCCCCGGGCTCTTGGGGCTGCCTGGACAGGGTTGGGAAGAGCCCATCAGCTGAGTCTTGAAGGAACTACAAATTTGCTAGATGTAGCAGATAAAAAGACAGGATGCCCAGTTACATTTTAATTTTAGATCAGAGATGGATTTTTGTTTTTGTTTTTGCTTGTTTTTTTTTTTAGTGTAGTTGTGTCCCAGATAGTGCACGGATCATGAAGGGTGGAGGGTGGGTCTTCAGGTGACTTTGACAAGAGGGGGTGCTTCAGTCCGTGGGAACTGCCTGCAAAGGTGTGGAGATGTGAACAGCATGGACGTGTTGCCTCTTTCGGATGTAAACCTGTGTGTCTCACAGTAATGCAGGTAAGTGTCACCTGAGAAAGGCGGTCTGCCCCCCGGGAGGATCCTCTGTCCTGCACTGGTGGCATCCGATTTCCTGTCTGCTCGCCCTTCCTTCCATTTGTCTGTCTTCCATAAACCACACACTTGGGGCTCTCTGGGGGAACAGAGGAGCAGTGGGACCTCGGTCTTCGTCACCAGAGAACCTGTGTGAGGGGACATCTTGCAGAGGAGTTTGCACACTAAGCCTCCAGACCTGTAGCTGCCACCGGATCACCTTTATTTTTAAAGGTTTTATTTATTTAAGAGAGAGAGTTGGGGAGGGGCAGAGAGAAGGGAGAGGGGAGGGAAAGAATCTCAGACAGGTTCTGTGCTGAGTGCAGAGCCCGAGAAGCGAGGCTCAGTGCCATGACCTGAGATCATGACCCGAGCAGAAACCAAGAGTTGGACACCCAACCGACTGCGCCACCCAGGAGGTCCCAGGAGCCCATTTATTAATCTGCTGTGAGGAAAGTCTAGTAGCCTAGACAAGCATATTCTCCCCTGGAGGGAGAAGTCCTGGAGGTTGGTGGGTGAGCACAGACTCAGTCTGTAGAGCCTGGCTGAGGGGACACCCAGTCAAGGCTCCCGGCCCATGGAAGCTGCAGTGCTTCTCCTTCCTGCTCAAGACCGCCCCATCTCTCGGGCACTGCTGTGCAGCCCTCCTCTCCGGCACGCCAGCCCTTTCTGTTGGACCAGCGGGGCACAGGGCATCGGGTTCGATTTCCGCTTACTCGATGCCACCCACGTTCTTCACGTGACTCCCTCAGCTCCCTGGCGGAGCACGGGATGTGGCAGAAATCTCTCTTCATTAGGGGCGGTCCCTTGGTTCATCCCCGTAGACGGCTCACTACATCCACGGTCTGGGAATTCGCCAGCCCCATTTGGAGGGCAGCCTTATTCCCAAGCCTCGCCCGCTGCTGCACCCCCAGGGTAGGTGGGGGAAGCAGGAGCCGTGGAGGCCAGAGCCGCAGGCAGGGCCCGTCTCCGAGGAGGGCCTGCCGTGCCGGGTGAGGAGTCTTTATCCTACAGGAGATTGGTAGTCGAGAAGGATTTTAAACAAAAGCCTGGCATTTCTGTTTGATTTCTGGCAGTCATGGGTAGAGTATTGTGGAAGGGGGCACGACTGGCATCTCCGAGACGATTTAGGGGCTGAATAATGACTCGCAAAGAGGCCCATGTCTGAATCCCCAGAACCTGTGCTTATGTTAGTTTCCATGGCAAAGGAGCCCCAGGAAGGGGACAAGGTCAAATGACACTGAAGACACAGACTTAGAGACTGATTGGACACATGGGGTTGTGGTGGGAGCCCGAAGACCCTTCTCCCGCCCAGTACCCCGAGGCTCGCGTCTCATCTCATCTGTCCCATCTGGCAGCCCCTGCCTGGCCTCCACCCTGTCCCAGGGTTGAGGAAGTACCTCTTGGGCCACTAAAACCATGGGAGGGAATCCTAAAGGACACTCTGTAGTTACGAGCATCACAGTTAACACTGGATGGTCGGGCGCCGCAGACCCACAACCTCAGATACGTTGAGTTTACTAGACTTTTGTGAAGGGCCAGGAATCTCTTCATTTGGTGGGGAACAGATCTAAGTTCCAAACCCCGACACTGGCCACTGTGCATGAATCTATTTTTAGATTTTTTTTTTCTGCGTCCACTATAGTTTTATAATTTTAGTTTGCTCATGGAAAGATGTAGGGTGGCTTCCTACAGATGATTCATTCTCACGATGTCCCATGTGCCCATTGGTGTGTTCTGTAAGTGCTTGGGAGGATCAGTCCCTAATTACATGTTTCGGGGTGCATTGTTTGTGGGGCCCCGCCGGCATCCATCCAGGTGTGCTTTATCGTCCATCTGAAGCCACTGTGAGGGGCGGTCACCCTACGGAGGATTACTACCCACCCGTCCCCTGACTTTCACAAACAGCATGCCTTGCCTCAGCCATAAACTAGGCATAATTTTATCCACACCATCTTGATAAAGTTGATGAGGGCTGGTTTTGCTTCCTCTTCCTGCCTCGTGAGTCATTTAGAGATTTTTTTCTGCCAGCCTAACCTCAACTGTCTCATGTGTTGAGGGTGGAAAACTAGCTCGCCTGGTGATCAGTCACTTCAGGGGACACGTTGACTTAGAGCAAGGGCAAGCGGGGATTTTGCAATGTGACGGCCGGCGATGTCTGAGACTCCCAGCCTTCTTTCCTTCTAGAGTAAATGTTCCTTTGTTGGCAGATGGTGGGGGGGACAGACTATTTTCAGGGACCACGTTCACCCACATTCACACTGTAGTGAATAGTGTGGTCGAGGAATGTGGTCTTTCCTCTGGGCTCCTTAGAGGTATGAAGACCAAAAGGAACCTTGGGGACAGTGCTAAAAATACAGTTTCTTGGTTTTTATTTATTTTTTTTTGTGTTTTTGCTTTGTTGGGATGCATCGTAAGTTTTTTCTTTAGAGGCTTTGTGTGTAATGCTTCTCAAATGCAGGAGGCTTACAGTCATTCACGGGCCTCCCTGTGTTTTAGTGTTTGGCATATTTATAGTGAAAATGGCTGATTCTATAATTATTTTTTTATATGATACAGGGGTGGACAAACTTTCCCTCTACCTCTCCTCTTCCTTCTTCAAATGTAGAAATCATTCTTAGCTTGAGGTCCATTCAAAAACAGGCCATAGAGGGGACGCCTGAGTGGCTCAGTCGGTGAAGCGTCTGCCTTCGACTCAGGTCATGATCCCAGGGTCCTGGGATCGAGCCCCACATAGGGCTTCCTGCTCAGCAGGAATCCTGCTTCTCCCTCGCTCTCTGTGCTCTTACTCTCTCTCTCTCTCTGTCAAATAAATACATACATAAATAAGATCTTCCAAAACAGGCCATGGCTTGAATGTGGGCGGCTGGCCAGAGTGTGCAGACCTGAGCTCCAACTTACGCATAAGCACATGCAGACAGAAAAGAACCCAACGAACATCCC